GTGGCTCTGCACAGCTCCTGCCAGGAGGGGACAGCCAGGGGGTCAGGCTCTGCTCCAGGGAACAGGGACAGGAGCAGAGGGAACGGCCTCAGGCTGGGCCTGGGGAGATTTTGGGAAAATTTCTCTACTAAAAGGGCTGTCCACCCCTGGCACAGCTGCCCAGGACAGGGCTGGAGTCCCCATCCCTGGGGGATTTCACAGCCCTGTGGCTGTGGCACTTGGGGACATGAGGCAGTGGTGGCCCTGGCAGTGCTGAGGGAACAGCTGGACTCCATGATCCTGGAGGGCTTTCCCAACCTGACCAATTTCACATTGCTGGTTCCACATTCCACATTCCTGGAACTGGAATCACCAATTCCCCAATCCCTGTTTCTGTGCTGGGTAAGCAATCAGTTAACAGAGCTGCAAGGAGTTCTCAGCAGCCCCTTGCAAGGAAAGAAAGGGGAGCAGGGGGGATTATCCTTGATCCTCTTACCAGAGCGCTCGCTGGACAGGCTGCCCTGCCTGCTGGGGGACCTGGGCACCTCGGGCACAGGCGCTGCCAGGCTCAGGCTGGCAGAGGAGATGGTGCTGTCCGAGCCCAGGGACGTGCTGGACTGCGTCAGCGACGACCGCCGCAACTTGTTCTTCAGGAAGAAACCCTTCAGCTTGGACTTCTTGCCCCCCAGCTCCAAGTCATCCTCCATGTCCAGGGCTGCCATGCTGCTGGGGATGATGGCAGAGGCCGACTCCAGGTCGTACTTCTTCTTGCCCGTCACCTTGTCCTTGAGCTTGCCGAAGGGCGAGCGCGCCTTGTCCTTCATGGACAGGTCGAACATGCTGGCGGTCAGGCTGTGCCTGGTGAACTGCAGGCTCACCAGGATCTCACCACGCTCCTTCTCCTTCTTCCCAGCCTTGGAGTGCAGCTTGTACCACCTGCAGCCACAGGGACACACAAGGGAAGGGCCTCTGTCACCTCCCAGAGCCACAAGGCAGCAGAACTTTGAGAACAGAAAGCACCAGTGTAGCCATGATACTTTCTGAAAAATCCTTTCCTTAGGATTTTTCTCCTAAGAAGCTGAGAGGTCTCAAGAACAAAATGTAAACAATGGTTATCTGCTGCTGTGGGATGTAACAGGTGCATCTTTGATTGGCCATGTTGGCCGTTTCTAATTAATGGCCAATCACAGTCCAGCTGTCTGGACTGTCTTGGTCAGTCACAAGCCTTTGTTATTCATTCTTTCTTTTTCTATTCTTAGCTACCCTTCTGATGAAATCCTTTCTTCTATTCTTTTAGTATAGTTTTAATGTAATATATATCATAAAATAATAAATCAAGCCTTCTGAAACATGGAGTC